TTGTACTTATATTTTAAAAATACCTGCATGTAATTACATCTGTAATTCATTTCTGTAATTACATTTATAATTACACAGTTGACCCATCCCTTACACCTTAACCCACCCTTAAACCTACCCATACCAACAAACCTGTCTTTAACCTTACCCGTATCCCACCTTAATAGCAGCAAAAGTGTTTTGCAATACAATATGAACACAATAAGTACATTGTTCTTAATTTTTGATGTAAGTACATAGTAGTTAAGGCCACTTAATATAAAGTGGGGCTGCCCCACTTTATAGACTTTAAGGGCACAACATATTGAGAAAATCGCTTTTAAAGTTGTCCAAATGAAGTTCTTAGCAATGCATATTACTAATCAAAAATTAAGTTTTGATATATTTATCTTCATGGAACATGATCTTTACTTAATATCCTAATGATTTGTGGCATAAATTAAACATCTGTCATTTTGATCTATACAATGTATTGTTGGCTATTGCTACAAATATATCAGATATTTTGATATTATTATTACAAAAATAGGATTACAGAATCAAGAACTTGCTGAAGTACAAATGTTCATTTTGCTGATTTTCTCTTTTTATATATATTTTATTTCTTTCAATTTGACATATTTTCATATTATTTATTCTAATTGCAATGTTTAACCTAAAGCAATGGGATGGATGGATGGATGGAGGTATTAGATTGGAAGGATGGATGGAGGTATGGGATGGGATGGATGGATGGGATTGTATGGACAGATGGAGGTATGGGATGGGATTGGAGGGATGGATGGATGGGGATTGAAAAGGAGCTAATACTGAATTGTGCCCACTCCAGCAAAGTAAACAAGACTTTGTGCCAATAGTCAAATGTCTGTGTACATCAGACAGACGTATGGCTGTATCTGTTCCTCTAACCACAGACTGGGGAGTAAATAAATCTCTATTTTGGACTTTGTGAATCTGTCTGGCTCTCACATCACCCTGTGCAATGCAAAGAGCAGCCCACGTGACCTCAGCAGGGACAGAGGTCAACTCTGAGTGTGGACCAGGGCCCTTAAAAATAAACCAATTTTCCCAACTCTCCTCTGCAGAAAAGGGACTGTTTTTTAAATTGGTTAATGACCAGGTGGTTTAGCAAAGGTCACTGAATTTTAAAACCTTCCAAACTGCACCTGCTCCCCCAGACTTACGTCTTAACTTCCCCCTTGATTTTCAGCCACAAGTGAATCAGAAAGGTCATCGAGGGACAGTTGTGGGTAAATGGGAAGACGGGAATGAAACCTGCTGCACTGTTTTCTCATCTTACTTTCATGAGCTAACCACACAGGGAGAGGAAAGAGGAGAGATCATGGCTCTGATAATTCTGCCAATTAAGATGTGCTTTGAATTATTCCAGGGGTTAATAAAGTATTTGAGTCACCATCATATGTTTGTAAAGGCTACGCTAACGTGACAATAAAGGCAAAGACTTTCGACTCCGATGTAGCATAATTTCACCGCCTGACAGCTACCTTGACAGTTTGGATATAAATGGAGACCATTGTGCTTAAAGCTGGATGCTTATGCACTTTCTTCCTGAAGAAGGCGAGTGATTATCCTTGAGTTTGGAGGTGAACACGTTACACGTCCTTGAAGAGGGTTGTAAATCCAGGCATCTCTTTTACTGAGGAATACTAAGTGAGATTTTCACCGTTGGCTCTTCCAGTAAGGAAAATAGGCTCAATGAGAGAGTGAAGCGAAAGAAGGTGCTTCATAATTAAAAAGCCCGTTCGGCTCGTTTATCTCCATCATTAAGGCATAATCACGCCATTGTAAGATGCACCTCATTTTCCTCTATTTAGATCAATCACTGTGAGCCCTTTGTGAGAGTGGAGTGCACAGGAGAGACCAGTCGCTGGTAACTGCTAGGAGACTCACCCCATCAAAGGAAATCAAACACTTTTGCAAAAGAACGAACAATTGAACAGATGAATGGACAAAGGAATGGACAAACAGCAATCAGTGAGTGAAGAAATAATTTGTTTGACTGAATCACTTCATTGATTGTTTGGTTGCACAAATTAATCAATTTTAGACTTCTCTTTACTTTGATTCTAATTCTTCTTATCATTCTTTCTTAAAATTATTAAAATTTTCATAATTACATTTATATACTGTGTAATAAGCATAAAAACAAACAAGAAATCAAACACTTGAAATGAATGAATAAACAAATAAATAAATAGCAATCAGTTTGATTGAATGAATAAGTGAATCAATGTAAGGCTTCTCTTTTCTTTTCATATACACATAATGCCATATTATAATATATACTGTAATATATTCTTTCCACTTTTCACCATTACAAATAAATATAGTAATGTTACAGCACTACAAAAATATAACAACTATAGAACTATTAATACATTCTATAAAACAAACTGTTCAATGTTCATGGTGTCTTATGCATTAATGCTAGTGAATTGAACATTATTTTAAGTGTTACTGAAAATATATTTATATTGTGGTTATGCTTAAACTGCTGTTTGGAATAATTCAGATTTTTTAAATGTTTTTGAACATAAGAAAGTCTCTCAACAAGAAGTCTCTTACTATCACCAAGGCTGCACTTATTTGATGAATAATACAGTAAAGACAGTAATATTGTGAAATAGTATTGCTATTTAAAATAATTGTTAGAATTGTAACAATTGTTAATTGTTGCATATATTTAAAAATGTAATTTATATTTCAACAACGATGACACTGAAGACAGGAGTTATGGCTGCTGAAAATTCAGGTTTACAGGAATAAATTACATTTAAAATAGAAGGAGAGAAGGAGGTTCTCATCCAGAATTTTACGGTGCATGGCCCCGTCCATCGGTCCTTCAATGCGGTGAAGTCATCCTGTACCCATAGCAGAGAAACAGCCCCAAAGCATAATGTTTCCACCTCCATGCTTGACTGTAGGGATGGTGTTCTTGGGGTCATAGTCAGCATTTCTCTCCCTCCAAACACAGCAAGTCGAGTTGATGCCAAAGAGTTCCATTTTGTTCTCATGTGACAACAGCACTTTCTCCCAAGCCTTCTCTGAATAATTTAGATGTTCAGATGGGCCTGTACATGTGCCTTCTTGAGCTGGGGGACCTTGCGGGCACTGCATGATTTCAACTCATTGCAACGTAGTGTGTTACCAATGGTTTGCTTGGCGACTGTCCCAACTGCCTTAAGATCATTAACAAGCTCCTCCTGTGTAGTTCGGAGCTGATCCCTCACCTTTCTCATGACCATCCTTTCCTCATAAGGCGAGATCTTGCATGGAGCACCAGACAGAGGGCGATTGATGGTTATTTTGTATTTCTTCCATTTCCGAATATTCACACCAACAGTTGTCTCCTTCTCAAAAAGCTTCTTGCTGATGGTCTTGTAGCCCATTCCAGCCTTGTGCAGGTCTACAATCTTGTCTCTGACGTCCTTTGACAGCTCTTTGGTCTTGCCCATGGTGGTGGGAGAGGTTTGAATGTAAGATACACATTCTATGGACTGGTTTCTTTTATACTCATAACAAGATGACATTAGGAGTAATTTCTTAAAGTGACATGACTAATCTGTGTTCCACTTGGGCATGTAACCAATCTGTGGGAGCCAGAATTCTTGCTGGTTGGTAGGGGATGAAATACTTAACGGGGTTAATACTTAACTACACGGGGAAGTCGTGGCCTAATGGTTAGAGAGTCAGACTCGTAACCCAAAGGTTGCGGGTTCAACAGGCAGGGATTGTAGGTGGGGGGAGTGAATGTACAGCGCTCTCTCCCACCTTCAATACCATGACTGAGGTACCCTTGAGCAAGGCACCGAACCCCCAACTGCTCCCCGGGCGCCGCAGCAAAAATGGCTGCCCACTGCTCCGGGTGTGTGCTCACGGTGTGTGTGTGAGTGTTCACTGCTGTGTGTGTGCACTTTCGATGGGATAAATGCAGAGCACTAATTCCGAGTATGGGTCGCCATGCTTGGCAACATGTCACTTTCACTTCACTTATTTTACTTACTGAAATACAAGTCAATTTATAACCTTTATATAATGTGTTTTTTCTGGATTTTTTTGTTGATATTCTGTCTCTATCCATTAAAATAAACCTACCATAAAAATTATAGACCCTTAATTTTTTTGTAAGTGGTCAAACTTACAGAATCAGCAGGGGATCAAATAATTATTTTCCCCACTGTACATACATGTTTTCACATTGTACTTATATCTTTAAAATACCTGCATGTAATTACATCTGTAATTCATTTCTGTAATTATATTTATAATTACACCGTTGATCCATCCCTTACACCTAACCCATATTTAAACCTACCCATACCTCCAACCCTGTCCGTATCCCACCTCAATAGCAGCAAAAGTGTTTTGCAATACAATATGAACACAGTAAATATTGTACTTATTTTTTTTATCTACAAGTACATAGTAGTTAAAGCCACCTATTATAAAGTGGGACCATTTTTTTAAAATATAAATTGTATAAATTGTAAAAGTTATTTTAAATTGTAAGAATATTTCACAATATTACTGTTTATATTTTATTTTATTATTATTTTTATCAAATAAATGCAGCCTTGGTGAACATAAAACAGACTTATCTTGTATAGTAGTGTATACAGTATATAAATATATAAATACAACAAATTGGTTAATGAACAAACAACAATCATTGAGTGAAAGAAGAATTTGATTGTCTACCTAACTGACGACATTGATAAGACATTAGCATTAGTTTCTTTCATTTGTGCTTATGTGCAATTTTGCAAATACATCCATGCAGCCAGTAACGCTGTGATGACTATAGAGATGACTATACAACACTCCCAGCACACTTTATTACCATTTCTACCTCTCGTCTGCCCTTTTTTCTATCAACATGATTGATTCTGCTGGACTCCTAGATTACGATCTTTTGAACCGCAGCTACAGAAGTTTTCATCTTCAATTGGATATGATGGATTGACAGGCTTCAGTCTTACCCCATCTGGTTTGCCATCGGAGGCCGTGACCGTTAGCGTGTAGTGATCCGTGAGCTCTCTGTCCAGCGACTTCGCCAGCAACAACAGGCCAGACCTGAAAGCAAAGATGATGTTGAAAACCTGTGGATTATAGAGCCCAGAGGTCTATGTGTTTTAACTTTATGGTGGTTTTAGAGAGCAAGCAAAAGTGAAAGAGGAAAAAGGTGTTAAAATTCACACCATGTGCTGAGAAAACAAAACTGGAAAATGTCATATGCACAACTGGCTACAGCCAAAATCCAGACAAAACGAATCATGTTCGGCTGAAATTAGTAGATCAAATATAGGCTGGATGGAATTATGTCCTGCTGGATGGAATTATGTCCTGCTGAATGAGACGGCTGGGCAATATATTCATTTCTTGCAAGACCTGTGCCACTGTGAAAGGCTGAGGACATTGTATGTGTGCCTGGGGACGATTAGAACTGAATTAATTGCTGTCAGGCAACAGCAGCCATGAGTAAAACATTGTGCCCCATTCAAATGAGTTCTAGAACACAGTGCATTTGGTCACACATTTACATTTGTTTACATGGTAATGCAAGTTTAACTAAGAACTCGTGGTACACAACTTTTGGTGTACAAATATGCTACATACACAAATACTACAAACTATTGTATCTATGATCTATTAACATGCATTTATCTATTATATCAGTTTTCTTTCTGGTTACACTTTATTTCGATAGTCCACTTTAGACATTCTATTAACTACAAGTAACTTTGTAACTACATGCCATCTACCTGTCAACTAATTCTCATTAATTTGCAACTACATGTCTACTAACTCTCAGAGTAGACTGTTAGGGTAGGTTTAGGGTTAGTAGAATAAGTTGACAAAGAAAGTGTTAGAAGATATTAAGCAGACAGTCTACTAATACTCTACTAACTGCTAGTTGACATGTAGTTGCAAAGCTACTTACTGTTAATAGAATGTCTAAAGTGGACTATCGAAATAAAGTGTTTATTTGTCATTGCTTGACATTCATATTTTTGTGAGATAAAACATATGCAGATAGAGCTGGGTAGTAACTGATTACATGTAATCTGGATTATGTAATCATATTACAAAAAGTAAGTGCTTGTAATTAGATTAAATTACATTTTTAAAAAGTCAGAATCAGACTACAGTTAAATTTTGATCGATTACATGATTACATATTATTCACACAATAGCACTAAACTAGCTGTAAACAAATACAATATTTCATTTTTTAATCAGTTTTATTTTGATTGATGTTATTTTAAAATACCTTATTTAAATTTTACAATTAATTAATTATTAGCTTTTCGAACCCCTTGCAGTTCCTTCATGAACCCCAGTTTGGGAAACCCTGGTAATGTAATATTTAATGCACTTCATGTTGTTAATAACAATGAATGGAATGTATTTCTTCCTCTTTGTATTTTATATCGATACGGTACAAGATTATCCTATTTAAATCAATGTTAAACAAGTTAGGTCAAAAGTAGAGTACAAGTAGTCTGATTATATTACCTAAAATGTGTAACTGATTATGTTACTAATTACAATTTTTGTCATGTAATTTAGAATCAGTAACGGACTACACTTTGTAAGTAATCTACCCATCTTTGTATACAGATATATTGGTACTGACTACTGAAAAAAAAAACATTTAACTTGAAATATTGCCTAAAATTAGTCATTTTGGAGAGTTTTGGAGTGAGATAGATGTTAAAGTTAATGGGTAACATTTAATTTTAAGGTGTCTTTGTTACACGTTACATGTACTTACTGTTGTAATAACTATTATAATAATTATGCATAAGTACATGAAAGTAACCCTAAGCCAAACCCTAACCCTAAACCTAACAATATAGTAAGTACATGTAGTTCATTAATATTACTCAGCACTTAAATGTATAATTACACTGTAACAAGGACACTAAAATAAAGTGTAACCAATTAATGTTCACCCAAAATTAAATTTGCTGAAAATATATCCACCCTTCGGCCATTTAAGATGAAGATGAGTTTGTTTCTTTATCGAAACAGATTTGGAGAGTCATGTGGATTACTTGTAGAAAAGTAGTCTGATTATATTACCTAAAATGTGTAACTGATTATGTTACTAATTAAAATTTTTGTCATGTAATTTAGAATCAGTAACGGACTACACTTTGTAAGTAATCTACCCATCTTTGTATACAGATATATTGGTACTGACTACTGAAAAAAAAAACATTTAACTTGAAATATTGCCTAAAATTAGTCATTTTGGAGAGTTTTGGAGTGAGATAGATGTTAAGGTTAATGGGTAACATTTAATTTTAAGGTGTCTTTGTTATACGTTACATGTACTTACTGTTGTAATAACTATTATAATAATTATGCATAAGTACATGAAAGTAACCCTAAGCCAAACCCTAACCCTAAACCTAACAATATAGTAAGTACATGTAGTTCATTAATATTACTCAGCACTTAAATGTATAATTACACTGTATCAAGGACACTAAAATAAAGTGTAACCAATTAATGTTCACCCAAAATTACATTTGCTGAAAATATATCCACCCTTCGGCCATTTAAGATGAAGATGAGTTTGTTTCTTTATCGAAACAGATTTGGAGAGTCATGTGGATTACTTGTAGACTACTGTGATGTTTTCATCAGCTGTTTAGACTCTCATTCTGACGGCACCCATTCACTGCAGAGGATCCATTGGTGAGCAAGTGATGTAATGCTAAATTTCTCCAAATCTGTTCCGATGAAGAAACAAACTCATCTTTTTTATACATTTTAAAGAATTGTGGATAAGATGAATAGTGTATAAGATAATTATAAATTCGATTTTATTGAGATTTATTGTAAATTACTGAGATGCTATTGGCATGCAGTTTGATTACTTTTATACTTTAAATTTAGATTATCAGAACTAACAAATTATTAAAAAAACAAGAGTACTTAAATAGCACTGACTTCAGCATGCTTTTATGCCATCCACTTTGTTGTTATTCATGATTCAAGCATGTCATTATTTTCCATCATTTGATGAATAACTGCTGTCCTGATCGATAGAAAAGGAACACAAATATTTATTTCTGTGGTCAGTAGTTTGAAGTTAATTGAGATTTGTGGCAACAAAGTACTTCTATTGAAGGTCTAATTTGTGCAGAAAAGATGAAAAATAATTTAGTTTCAATACAGCATATTAATATTTCAGCACATTAAATGCATTCTTAAATGGATAGTGAGTGTTTAATGAATGAGATGGAGTGCTGAAATACCATATGCAAAAGTGCCGCAACTATATAATGAATTGGCCCTTTCATGTTTCGCAACAGCCAATCATTCTGTCCTGACACAATATGTCCCCCCAAACCTCCAGAGGATCTGTGAGACGGGTGGACACTGATGCAGACAGTCATGCGTTCTCCAAATAAAATAAACAAATTCAGAGCGGCATCTTCAAGGCTCCAGAGGACCTCATGTATATTCATCATGCATTCACTGCAAAGCATCGTCTGTACATGTCTAAGAGCATACTCGCACCCTAAATTACCCCCCTACTGAACAGCATCAATTGTCATGATAACCAGAGAATACACAAGTTTATTATTGGTATTATAAGCAGCAGCTGCAAAAATAAACCAAACCAGGCTGGTTATGAAAAAGCCATTTATATCTGGTGATTCTGAATAACTGAAAGGGAACGGGAGGGTATTTATTTATTGTCACAAGACCCCAATTTTAAAGGGGTCATGACATTAATCAATTACTATTATTATTATTATTATTTTAATAAAAGAGTTTAGAGACAGAGAGACAGAAGTTCATTTTGTAACTATCTTACATCAGACATAATAGATTTGAATAAATGCACATAAATGTATGATTCCGCACAGTCGCTCATCAAGAATGACAAATTGTGGAATTTGCCCTCAAGTCATGCTGAAGTAAAATAAATACGACATATTGAACACTAGAGGACACTAAAATAAAGTGTAACCAATTAATGTTCACCCAAAATTACATTTGCTGAAAATATATCCACCCTTCGGCCATTTAAGATGAAGATGAGTTTGTTTCTTTATCGAAACAGATTTGGAGAGTCATGTGGATTACTTGTAGACTACTGTGATGTTTTCATCAGCTGTTTAGACTCTCATTCTGACGGCACCCATTCACTGCAGAGGATCCATTGGTGAGCAAGTGATGTAATGCTAAATTTCTCCAAATCTGTTCCGATGAAGAAACAAACTCATCTTTTTTATACATTTTAAAGAATTGTGGATAAGATGAATAGTGTATAAGATAATTATAAATTCGATTTTATTGAGATTTATTGTAAATTACTGAGATGCTATTGGCATGCAGTTTGATTACTTTTATACTTTAAATTTAGATTATCAGAACTAACAAATTATTAAAAAAACAAGAGTACTTAAATAGCACTGACTTCAGCATGCTTTTATGCCATCCACTTTGTTGTTATTCATGATTCAAGCATGTCATTATTTTCCATCATTTGATGAATAACTGCTGTCCTGATCGATAGAAAAGGAACACAAATATTTATTTCTGTGGTCAGTAGTTTGAAGTTAATTGAGATTTGTGGCAACAAAGTACTTCTATTGAAGGTCTAATTTGTGCAGAAAAGATGAAAAATAATTTAGTTTCAATACAGCATATTAATATTTCAGCACATTAAATGCATTCTTAAATGGATAGTGAGTGTTTAATGAATGAGATGGAGTGCTGAAATACCATATGCAAAAGTGCCGCAACTATATAATGAATTGGCCCTTTCATGTTTCGCAACAGCCAATCATTCTGTCCTGACACAATATGTCCCCCCAAACCTCCAGAGGATCTGTGAGACGGGTGGACACTGATGCAGACAGTCATGCGTTCTCCAAATAAAATAAACAAATTCAGAGCGGCATCTTCAAGGCTCCAGAGGACCTCATGTATATTCATCATGCATTCACTGCAAAGCATCGTCTGTACATGTCTAAGAGCATACTCGCACCCTAAATTACCCCCCTACTGAACAGCATCAATTGTCATGATAACCAGAGAATACACAAGTTTATTATTGGTATTATAAGCAGCAGCTGCAAAAATAAACCAAACCAGGCTGGTTATGAAAAAGCCATTTATATCTGGTGATTCTGAATAACTGAAAGGGAACGGGAGGGTATTTATTTATTGTCACAAGACCCCAATTTTAAAGGGGTCATGACATTAATCAATTACTATTATTATTATTATTATTTTAATAAAAGAGTTTAGAGACAGAGAGACAGAAGTTCATTTTGTAACTATCTTACATCAGACATAATAGATTTGAATAAATGCACATAAATGTATGATTCCGCACAGTCGCTCATCAAGAATGACAAATTGTGGAATTTGCCCTCAAGTCATGCTGAAGTAAAATAAATACGACATATTGAACACTAGATAAATTATCAGTCAAATTTAGAAAAATGCTAAGCATATTGTGCGTTGTGTAGCACCTAAACTCTGCAGATCCTTCTGAGGAATCCCAATGTTAGAAATGAGGGGATGAAGTTTTAACAATGCCTATTATCATTTCAGTCATCTTATTCATCTCATGAACAGTTTAATGAGAGTACTGTTTCAGTGCAGATTGTTTTATGAATATATCACAACGTACAGTAGTTCTGTTTTCCAAAAGCAGAGCAGTAAACACGTTGATAAATTCAAATGGTGAGAAAATGGAAAATAAATAGTCAACATCAGCAAAGCATATTTATTTATTTGTATGAATATATCACTGAATCAAATTGGTTTTAAGTGTCTTAAACTAAATGACACAAAGGTTGAAGACCTGAACTATCATGCCTCATATAAAAGTTATTAGACACATCCATTTCCAAAATAAAGCAGGTGAGTTGGCACTTTAGCCTAAGCTAAGTTAAGCATATCTAAAATCCATTTAAAACTCTTACATCTCCTCTGCTTGAAAATCATTTTGAACAGTCATTTTGAACTTTTCTGAATAATTCCACTTTAAAATTCCATTTCGCTTACTTTATGAAAGGATGACCCCACACTTCCAACCCCCATGAAAGTGCTTTTTAAACATATACTTTATATCACCATATTCACCCTCCAGCCAGACTTTTCCAGACTCTACAGTTACACAATCCACTCGAACAGACAGCTCTATCGTAAACTCCGTGGGGAGCAGAAGGCATTGTGGGAAGGAGGAGAAAAAAGGAAGAGACTGTAACTGTGAGAGATAAGCTCAGGTAGTTCAACAAAAATAGCTATATTTGTTTTGTTCTTCATTCGCTGCTTATTGAAAGAACAGTAGCAGTTCATTAGAAGTGTATCCTGGTTGTGATATCTTGCTTAAATAACTTGAGAACAGGATCAGAAGCTTTGCTCCGGGCTATGATTGAAATGGCCTTTGGTACACTGCACACTGCGGAGTATAACATGCTTTACTAAATGCATTACTAAAGAAAGAGAGTGTGAGATATCGGCCACCTAATGTTGTTTACTCGTTTTACGGAGTGCTAAATCAAATAAAATGCATCTGAGGTTTTGCTATGAAAACATTTTGGGACTTTTGGCCCTTCACTGCAAGCAAAAGCTGAAAAGTTGCTATTTGAAATAGAGGAATTCATATTTTCATCAGTCTTTATTAATTATGTATCATGTTTGTGTCATAATGTAATCTGCATTCAGTGCATGTCAGGACGTGGCTGACTCAAACACACGAATATTTCACAGAGAAAAAGCTTTTGTTTCTCTGTATTTTTCAGTGAGTGCAAAGCATTGTGTGAGTGTGTCTGTGTCTGAATCACAATTAAAATATCTTCTCTGCTTATTCAAACCCCAAAAACAATGGATTTTGGCAGCGCAGCCTTTTTCCGGCCTTTCAAAGTGAGCTTACGTTTGGGAGACTTCAAAGATGCTGTTTGGATCTCCTCTCAGGATGGTATATGTAATGAGATCTCTTTCACGGTCGGTTGCCTGCAAATGACAGAAAGCGTTTTTGTGTTACACTAATTCAATTATGATGAGAAAGTCTCCAAATTTTGTGATAAGGAAACACAAAAATATACAGCATTTGGGCAGCTGACATATTTGGATGTATATGATATACTCTATATTCTAGTGAAATGTATATATTTATTTATTTATTTAAATTCAGCATTAATGTGTTGGTAAAAATGTATATTAATATATTTTTATAAATGTACAGGTCAAAAGTCTTGGATCTTAAATAATCAACCATTTTTTATGTTTTTAAAATATATCCTTATGCTCACCTCATTTGTTTGATCAAAAATACAGTAAAAACTGTTAGATTGTGAAGCATTATTACAATTTTAAATAACTGTATTTTTAAAATGTAATTTATTCCTGTAATGCAAAGCTGAATTTTCAGCAGCCATTACTTCAGCCATTAGTCTTCAGTGTCACATTATTCTTCAGACATACTTTTTAAGCATCAGAAATCAAGATTTTGCAGATTTTTTTTCTGGAAATCATTAATATTAATATTATTAAAATAAATGATTAAAAATATTAAAATATATTAAACTGACCAAAAGTGACAGTAAAATCATTTACAATGTTACAAAAGATTTATATTTCTTTTTTTTTTTTGACAATAACAAGAAACATTATGTTTAATTGCGCACCAATGATAATTAAAAAATATGTGAGCACAAAATTGCCAATCAGTAGATCATTAGATTCTGAAGGATCATGTGACAGTGAAGACTGGAGTAATGATGCAGAAAATTAAACTTTGCATTACAGGAATAAATCTGAAAACATATTCAAATAATAATAATAATAATAATAATAATAATAATAACACTTCTTCTAAATTGTAATAATATTTCACATTATTATGCATGTTTGTTTTGTTTTGTTTACAAAAAACATATAATAAAATAAATTAATAATCAAAGATCAAACTATTATCTTAATTATTCAAAACTTTTGACATACATACAGTGTGCATACATTTATAATTATAACATTAATAATTAAAAATATTCAACACATTTTTGTTGAAACAATAATACCCTTATGAGTGCTGATGGGTAAGTCACCTGTATGTTGAGCAGTGTGGCTCCAGTCCTCATGGCCTCACTGACCTCCAGGCTGTATATGAGCTGAGGGAAACGGGGAGGACTCTGGTTGTTGGGGGGCAGTACTTCGATATACACTGTAGTGATGGAACTTCTGAAGAAACAAAAGGAACATGATTTATATTCCTTTATTTGACAAACGTATTAAGTCTCACTCAAGGGTACGACATGATAACTAATTCATCCCCTCCAGCTACTAACTATGCCACACCAGCCACAAAAAGATCAGCATGCACAACAAGTTTCAACATATAATTTCCTAAATTGCTATGGCTCTGTTCCAAAATCAAGTGATCTGACTGAATATAGGCAACACTGTAAGACACCACAGGCACTCCTGACACAAAGGCAATTTCAAAAAGTAGAGATTATATAATCACACTGCCTTGTAAGATGCATTCTTTTAACTAAAGGCAGCATTGCATGCTGTATTATAATAATAATAATTATTATTATTATAATAATTATTATATATAACTAATCGAGCCGTTTGTGGCAGGCTGGGGAGAAAGGTATTTTAATAATGTAAATTATGTGAAAAATAATGCGTTTTTCGAACCACCAAGCATGAGAGCATGTTCTAGCACACCCCCAAAACAAAATCAAGACTTTGTAAAAGAGCATAATAGGACCCCTTTGAATAATGTTATAATCACGGCAAGAAAACTGGACATTTCGTCATTTTAGAAACATTTCAAAACAATGAAGTGGCTTCATAACCTAAATTTGTTACTTGGTTATAGATGCATCACATAAAAGATTGTTGACTTAAACATACACTTTCACTTGGTTTCAGTTTTATAACTGAAAGATGAATCAAACGTATTACTTATTATTATTACTGTAATCATGAGATGCAATTGGATGCTGTTGATTGAGCACATGCAGCTTTTCTTGTATGGACTCATTGTATGGACTCGGATATGGATTTTCTTTTGACAGAAAGAAAATCACCATGAAGCTTCCTCCAAGATCTGAACACGATCTGTAAGCCTAGCTAACAATAGCAGTCCAATTCCAGGTTGTTTTCTTGATGTTTAGTGAAAACCCAACCTGGTGCTGTCATTGTTTTATAACACATTGTATCAAGGCAGACATCGGTGTGGCTGAAGCAAATTAGATCGGGGAGTATTTTCGCTTTGGAAATGTTCCAGTATGATGAATTTGATGCCAGCACTCTCATAAAACTTTAAAAGAGAAAAATAAGAGATGGAAATAACTATCTGTTTCTCACAAGCTCAACCGCCATCTGTCCAACACATATAATAGCAAACTTTGGCTTTAACCATAAACCTCTCAACCTCGATAAAGTGGATACACAGTTTGAAGAAGAACTTCAAATTTAGGTTGATTTGTTGTGAATATTAGACGCTTTTAAACTTGTTCCCGAACAGCAAAGTGAAACAATGCATTTCCTGAACTTCGCTTACCCCCGTTCTATTTCTGCTTCATTCCTCTGTATTGATTCGGCAGTCAGCAAGAATTACAGAGGGCAGAGGCTGCTATGAATTGGACAGGAGGGGATGTAGAGACAATTAGAGTGAAAAGCCCTTTATTTCCGCTCTTTCAAGTGTCAGCTGGACAAGAGCAGCGGCCAATATTGGCAGAGTGTTCTTGGGGATATCTCTGAAGCAAAATCTGTCACTGTGTGGCATTGTATCGATCTCAAACTGGGCATGTGAGGTGGAGTCTTCTGTTAGAGAGTGAGAGGTGCTCTCTTTTTCAGCCCTCATTGGGTTTTCAGCTGATTTACCTTCTCTGGGACGCAGGGCCGTTGTCGGAGGCCCTAACGGTGAGGGCGTAGGAGCGGCCCATGGTCAGGTTGACACCAGGCAGCACGGTGATCCTTCCTGTGTAGTCATTGATGGTGAAGTGTCCCTGATCCCCTGCCAAGATTTTGTAGCTCACCAACCCGTTGGGACCCTCATCAGCGTCCACTGCTGACAGCTAAAAAAAAATAGATTGGAGCCGTTACTTCAGAGAGGACCTGCAAAGGTGCTTATTCACATTTATCACTGTCCAAGCCTCCTCTTTGGACCAGGCGGAATCATGAAACCTGCCAAGTACATGTCCGGGTCATGTTTGCCAGATTCACTTAAAAGATTTCAGCACATTCAGCAACTGGATACACTGGATTATTGGTAATTAGTCAATAAAGAGACTGTTTGTGTGTGTGTGTGTGTAAGCAACTCTTTAGTGAATTTACACCAATCATTTTTAATTTTATTTCATATTACAACATTTTTCATGATAATTAAGCACATTTTAAATCTACATTTTAATCATAATTACATATCATGGTAGTTCTGGTTGTACTGTTGTAATACTGATTGTACTGTCATGATGATGATGATGATAATAATAATAATAATAATAAATATTATTATTATTATTATTATTATTATTAAAACAACATTTTAATTAAAATTATATTTTAATAATAATTTATAACAATTATATAATGTAGCACAGTTCTTTCTGAATCACTGATTCTACAGACAGGGAGAAAAGGATTTATTTCAGAAACTTTATGACGTGACAACTACCAGCATACAATGGAGCAGTTAACCTTTTACACGATACAACTTGCACTTTTTAATTTTGACTTCTGGGGTCAATCTTTCAGCATGTCAGAGCAAATCTGCGCTCTGCTCCTGTTCTGATTGCAAAGGAATCAGTTATGCACACATTTCCAAAGAAAATTCCCATTAAGACAAAGATTAATCCGAGATCTGAGCAATTATTGCAGTAATAAGCCCCTCGTAAATGTGGAAACTACAGCTATTAATACAAATGAGTGGATTAAGGGTGAAAAGCTCTGCGAAAACAATTTTGCCTTGTTTTCCAGGAAAGACATCTAAAACAAGGTCAATGTATTTGAGAAGTGAAATTGTATAAAATACATATTTATCTATATATCCATAGTTTATTTTTTGACTGTATTTTCTACTATATAATGTAAAAAAAACAACAACACAAATTTAAATATATTGTCAGACAATAAGGCTTTAAGTAAATTCACGATTTTTTCAAAGATGCTTCGATGTATTTCTTGGAACCCCAGACAAATTGCTGATAAAGATATGATTTGATTGCAGTGAAAGAGTATCTTATAGATTACCTGTAAGATTGTGTTTCCAGGATGCATATCTGTGTAGACATTCACATTGTAGGAGACGTTGGGGAAGGTAGGTGTGTTGTCATTGGCGTCAATCACAGTGATATTAACAGTGACTGGAGAGCTCTCCTGAACTCCATCTGAGGCAGTCATCTACAAAAGAAGTAATTAAACTGTTAATATCAAAACAGTGAGGCAGAGAAACACACTTATCGCAGTGAAAAGAACCACATTTGCTTCTTAATTTCAAAATTACACATATTGTGCACAGATAAAACATTGCAAATCAGCAATTTTAGAAAAGGAAAGCTAAAAGCACAATTTTAAAATTGCCGCTAACTATCTATCAGCAAACAGATGCTGTGATATAAAAGGCAGATAGCCTCGTGCATTTTCCCTTTGCTTATTGTGATAGCAGAAGCGTAGCCAAATTATTCAAATTAATCCTCTTGCGTGGAGAGAACAGTCCATTGGCGGTACTCCCAACTGCTTCACTAGCTGTCAACTAGACTAATGGGATATCACAGAGAGGTTGTGGGCTGCACTGTGAGAAGGACGAAGTGTTTCTGTCAATCTCCACAAGGAATAAAAGAGCTGAAGCTCGAGCACAGAAGGAGGTAGTCAAGTCAAATATCATGAATAAAAGACAACACCAATGAAAACATGTTAATAACTGATGGTCGGATATGAATTTTTTGCTGGCAATGCAGATATAAAGGTGATAAAGGCCTATATAATCACACAATTTCATTTAAATAACACATTCAGAATTTCTAGAGACAACAACACAAATTTAAATATATTGTCAGACAATAAGGCTTTAAGTAAATTCACGATTTTTTCAAAGATGCTTCGATGTATTTCTTGGAACCCCAGACAAATTGCTGATAAAGATATGATTTGATTGCAGTGAAAGAGTATCTTATAGATTACCTGTAAGATTGTGTTTCCAGGATGCATATCTGTGTAGACATTCACATTGTAGGAGACGTTGGGGAAGGTAGGTGTGTTGTCATTGGCGTCAATCACAGTGATATTAACAGTGACTGGAGAGCTCTCCTGAACTCCATCTGAGGCAGTCATCTACAAAAGAAGTAATTAAACTGTTAATATCAAAACAGTGAGGCAGAGAAACACACTTATCGCAGTGAAAAGAACCACATTTGCTTCTTAATTTCAAAATTACACATATTGTGCACAGATAAAACATTGCAAATCAGCAATTTTAGAAAAGGAAAGCTAAAAGCACAATTTTAAAATTGCCGCTAACTATCTATCAGCAAACAGATGCTGTGATATAAAAGGCAGATAGCCTCGTGCATTTTCCCTTTGCTTATTGTGATAGCAGAAGCCTAGCCAAATTATTCAAATTAATACTCTTGCGTGGAGAGAAAAGTCCATTGGCGGTACTCCCAACTGCTTCACTAGCTGTCAACTAGACTAATGGGATATCACAGAGAGGTTGTGGGCTGCACTGTGAGAAGGACGAAGTGTTTCTGTCAATCTCCACAAGGAATAAAAGAGCTGAAGCTCGAGCACAGAAGGAGGTAGTCAAGTCAAATATCATGAATAAAAGACAACACCAATGAAAACATGTTAATAACTGATGGTCGGATATGAATTTTTTGCTGGCAATGCAGATATAAAGGTGATAAAGGCCTATATAATCACACAATTTCATTTAAATAACACATTCAGAATTTCTAGAGTCAAATTTAAATTCATGTAACATACTATGTGCTAAAGTAATTTCAAAATAGAAATAATTTCAAGACATAATTCGGAAATGAATACATTTTGAAACAAAAAATCTGAAGTTGATAAAAAAATAAAAATGTATGTCCTATAATGTTTTTTTTTTTACAAACAATAATAAACACACACACACACACACACACACACACACATAAAAAGAAAGTAAATACTGTAACCAATAGTACACTCAATGTTTGGACTGGTAATCATAATTTTGAAAAAGACCAGGCAAGGCTTATTTTTTTATACAGTACATAGCGAATATGACATCACTGGATAAGCAGAATTAGCAGCAGTACATGTTTATTTTTTCTTTATATATTTAGATAAGACTTACTTGAAATGCATATTTGCTAAATGCAGACAGTATATGAATAAAGTAATAGCAATTGCTATTCAATTATTAGACATAACTGTAAATTAACAAATTGATGGAGAATGGGCGCTCATGTACTTGGTTCCCAACACTTTTAAAATAAAAGCCCCACTCATGACGCTTCTCTGTGACACACTGATTTACTGGTCAACCAAGTGTTTAATTTGTGGCCTTTGGTAAGGTTAGTTACTACTATTGTTTGCATTTCAGTCAGTAAAACATAAAGTATAGTTTGGTTTCTACATGTATGCTAGGAAATGTGAACTGTGTGAATTTTGTCATTAGCACAGCAAAGTATTCATATGCTGTTCATGTGCACAACGATTTATCAAATTGTGTGAAATCTGCAGTTCACACATACGCCTTTAAATGTGCCTATGCAATAATTAGTTTGTGCACAAAGTGGCAACACTCACTCGGACTGTTGTTTCACAGTCGGAAAAGATACAGGAGAGACAGAAAAACAACAGGAGCAAACTACTTGAGACTTTTGTTATTGTTGTTTTCATCACCCGTAACTTCTGGAGAGAAATAGCGCAGACACTGGACAAGGATAAAACTTTCTAGTTTGTTAGCAGACTTTCTAGTCCGACACTTTCTTTTGATGCCTGACTTTCTCATTTGCTATCAAATGAAGCATACTTTGAAGCATACTTATCAAATGAAGCATACTTTGAAAGAAAATTCAACATTCAACACAATGTAAACACAATGAAGTCTACTATGGTGATAATCCCCACCAACAACACTCCAGCAACCACATAGTTACACACAGTGTTGCGGGTAACGCATTACAAGTAACGCGAGTTACGTAATCAGATTACTTTTTTCAAGTAACTAGTAAAGAAATGTAAACACAATGAAGTCTACTATGGTGATAATCCCCACCAACAACACTCCAGCAACCACATAGTTACACACAGTGTTGGGGGTAACGCATTACAAGTAACACGAGTTATGTAATCAGATTACTTTTTTTCAAGTAACTAGTAAAGTAACATATTATATTTTAATTTACAAGAAAATATCTGAGTTACGTTTTCAAAAAACTAACACCAGTTACTTTGTTTTCCCAGTAATTGAATGACAAGTCTCCTGTCCCCATATTTGGCGAAATCGGAAGTATTGAGGCGTTGTATGCACTGTGTGAACATAATGTAGTTCTAGACTAAATGTGAATGTGCATTAATTCATCCCACTCGCAAAAAAACAGATTTAGTATTCATCAAAATGAATTAAAACAGTGAAATGCAAACTCAGAATATGACGCAAACCTGCAATAATGAAATTTGTTAAATAACACAAATGTATCTAATCCCATTTTTATTAATTACTTTTTTTCAAGTAACTAGTAAAGTAACATATTACATTTTAATTTACAAGAAAATATCTGAGTTACCTTTTCAAAAAACTAACACCAGTTACTTTGTTTTCCCAGTTATTGAATGACAAGTCTCCTGTCCCCATATTTGGCGAAATCGGAAGTATTGAGTTGTATGCACTGTGTGAACATAATGTAGTTCTAGACTAAATGTGAATGTGCATTAATTCATCCCACTCGCAAAAAAACAGATTTAGTATTCATCAAAATGAATTAAAACAGTGAAATGCAAACTCAGAATATGACGCAAACCTGCAATAATGAAATTTGTTAAATAACACAAATGTATCTAATCCCATTTTTATTAATTAATGTCTTTGCTGCTGACCTTTGATGATCCAGTTCAACCATACTAATAAGCACAAATGACTTTAGATAAACTAACATTTGTGCTTCATTGTTTTTTTGTTTTTTTTATTGCTGAAGAGTGTTGAACCTTCTTCTCCTCTGTTCTACTGTACAGATGTGAATTTACTTTTCCTTCAGCCTGAGGTTTATTCATTACACTTTTTGGTGTGAAAGGGCTTTTAAATTTGCTATAAATAGAACTTCTTATATTAAAAACAATCAAGCCCTGCTCATATTTAAAAAG